TCTTGCCACTTGAAACAACATGGACCTTATTTTACTTATTCTAAGTAAAATAAGTCAGACACAGAAAGACAACATATGATCTCACTTATATGTGGAATCTAAAAAAATGAAAAGAAAAAACAAAAACAAAAAAATCCCAAGCTCATGGATACAGATAACAGACTGGTGGTTGCCAGAGGTGACAAGTTGTGGAGTGGGCAAAATGGGGGAAGGGGGTCCAAAAGGCACAAACTTCCAGTTATAAAATAAGTCATGGAAATGGTGACAATGGATATTGCATATTTGAAAAGTAGCTAAGAGAGCAGATCTTAAAAGTCCTCAACACAAGGAAAAAAAAAATCGGTAACTATGTATGGTGATAGATGTTAGACTCCCTGTGATCATTTTGAAATATATACAAATATAGAACCATTATGTTGTATATCTGAAATGAGTATGTCAATTATACCTCAATTTAAAAATTGTTTTAAAAAGAATTTCAACTCCATTAACATATTTTCATTTCCCTAGATTGGTATACAAATGAGCTCAATTTTTTTGTTTGCCTGTTTTGTTTTTTTTTTTTAACTTTCTGGATTTCTTATAAAATTATATAAATCTGACCTTCATAAAAATCAGTGTTTTCTTTTTTGCCTTAGTTTTTCTATTCTGTCACAATTTACTAATCATTAGTAATTGTTTCCCTTAGGATTATATATTTAACTTAGGTATAACTGACATTATATTAGTTTCAGGTGTACCATAAAATGATTTGATATTTGTATATATTGCAAAATGATCACAATAATAAGTCTAATATCTCTCACACCATACAGTTACAAAGAAATTTTTTTTTAGATTCCACATATAAAGGAGATCATTATGGTGTTTGTCTTTCTGTCTGACTTATTCCACATAGAATAATGCCCTCAAGGTCCACCCATGTTGTTACAAATGACTAGATTTCATTCTTTTTTATGGCTGAATAATATTCCATTCTACACACACATACACAATTTTCTTTATCCATTCATCCATCAGTGAGTCTCCTACAGGCAAGTAGTGTCTTCTAACAGTAAGTACCAAACTGACCCTCTAATGTAATAAAATTATACTTAAGATAACTGCTCAAGAGTTAGAGAAGTCCAGGAAACCTGTTTTTTGATTTTAAGTCTAAGGATCAATTTCTCCCACACACATCTTTCCATCTTTTTTCTTCCTCAGGTTTCCAATTTAGTTTGCCTTTTTTTCATAACTTACCACCATCTGCTGTGAAGACAAATTATAGGATACAACACCTAGTGAGCTGTGAAATAGATTTAGTGGGTCAGAACAGCATTTTTTCAAAAACTCCAATAGTAAATATTAGAGTGCACCAAATATAACACCACACACGTGTGTGTATGTGTGTGTGTGTGTGTGTGTGTGTGTGTATGCCATCATATAAAAGTTTTAGTTTTAGTTTTTTGTTGTCTGGGGGTGAAATTTATGAGGGTCCCTGCATTTTACACAATTCTAGGAGGCACATCCAGAATGTAGCAGCTCTGCAGTAATATACACGTTTGTATGTACTGGTCGTTATGTAAAAATTTCTCATTGTGAATCACAGTCAAACAAATGAGCAAACACTGATCGAACAGAAAGATCAATATTTTATTTAGAATCTTGCTTTTAAATCCCACTATCACCACTTACTCTGCATTTCAATGTATTCATCCATATAATGAATCTCATATAGCTCCTAACAAAACAAAATAAATAATATACATACAAAGTGCCTGGTGCCAATCTTAGCACTTAGCAATTGTTGAATAAGTCTTAGTGCTCTACCACCTTTCCCCAGAGTACTTCCATTAAGCACAGCCTAACTGTGACACGGGATGAATTTTTTCTTGAAATTTCCAAGGCAACAAGGGAAGAGTTCAAACAGCATTTTGTTTTCATTTTTGTTTTTTTAACTTAAAGATTTCACTGCCAATATAATTAACATGGGATAGTTACAAAGATTTTAGGTATGTACAAGGCCATTCTTTGGACCCAGATATCTGATTTCTTAGATAAGAAGAACCACTCTAGAAGGAAGCTTAGTTACTCAACAAATGTATTCTCAGCACTCTTAAGAGCCAAACACATAGAGTACAATTATGGCCATGTAGTCACATGGACCTTGTCCTTTGAGTTTGCAGAGTAGGTAAGCAAAGCATGAGCAACAGTCATGTATAAATTAAGGTCTGACATCACTTCCCAAACAGGCAGCAAACAAACCAAAGAACTAGACATTATTTCACGAGTTTTGACATTTGGTGCCAGCATTCACAATGCCAAAATTAAATGTATGGAAATAAATGCCTAAATATACAGTAAGTGATTTTGTTATAATTTTTCCATGTTAAAAACTGACAGAAAAAAATAACTGGTAAAACAAAAGAGTCCAAAGACTAGCTATTTTCCCCCTCAACTGATATAAGATTTATCTTATTTTTCTTCTGACCAAATTCAAAAACCAGAACTAGAACACAATGTCTGTACTATATAGTAAAATGACTATTTCAAACTGGTCTCTTCTATATCCTAAAAATTCACTGAGGAAATAATCCTACAGACCCTTACTGCAAATCTAATATAAAAATACTAGAGCAGAGGCACTAAATGCTGACACAGAATTTACAATTCAACAGATAAGGACCATATTGAAATGAAAATAATGAGTACATTAATACAGAAGCATTACTAGAAAGAGGTCACATCAAAATAAATTGTGATCCATAATGTTTTTGAGTCACTAGTTTAATTACTTAATTTCTCTCAGCCTAGGCTTATTTATTTGTAAAACGGGAATCAGTTCTTCCTAAATTCCAAGGATGCTCTGAAGATACATAAGTCTATGCACTGCAATAGTCCTTGTACAATGAATTACGACTATACTATGCAATTAGAAAAAGCTTATGTATACCACTGAGATTTTCAAAGGTACTCACGAAATCATAGTGTTGAGAACTATTTCTCATTGAAATCGACTGAATACTAAGCTGGATATCTGCTCACATAAAAGAATACACTAGTCTTCAAAAAACTCCAGTCTTTGGTACTTACAAGCAGCAGTGTTAAAATGATTGAAGTTAATGTTAATCTCTATTCCACTGTTATCTTTCAATAAACAGCTGGCTAGAACTCAGATCTTCTAAATCTCAAATGGTTTAAGAATTCATGATGCCAAATTTCTAATATTTGCCCACATAAATTTTATAGCTGGATTATGGAATTATGCTAGCCTGCTTAACAGGACTCGATTCAAAATTTTCTACAAAAATACTATTACATTTAACTAATTCTTCCTAAACTGGTGATTCTGCTGCTTCACCCAGTTCCAGTCTTCTCATAAGCCACCACACACTAGTGGGACAGCTGGCTGGGGTTATGCTGCAGCCAATAGCCAAATAAAGTGAAGTTAACTGGAACTAAACCAATGGCTATTTTGCATGGGCACTTGAACTTTGAAGCACTTTATAAACTGCTGGTTATTTCTAAATCCTGCTAAGTTTCAATATTGAGCCATCCATTATATTTCACTGCAAACTATGTCACCTTAAAAACAAGAAAAGTGCAAGACATTTCCCTAGTTTTTAAAAACTCACAAATCTAGTCCAATTCTTTTAAGTGTAAACAACTCTCACCAATGGGGGCAGGGCTCAACTTAATAAAACTGGGAGGTACTTCTCAGAACAGTGACCTGGCCACCAGTCATTTGGTAACCACAGGTTTAGGTCCTAGAATCTTAGGCCTTTCAAGCTCAACAAGTCCATATCTTTATTTTACAAGTGAGATTTTAAATTAAAGACTTATGCTCTGGGTTACCATAATAGCTAACTCTTACAATGTACTATGTACCAGTTACTGTTCTAAGCCCTTTACACCTATTTGCTCCTTGAATGCTCACAACAAACCAAAACAGTGAGGTCAACTAATTTGCCCAAGGTCACACAGTTTTTAAGTGACAATGCCATAATTCAAATCCCAGCAGTGTAGCTCCAGAATCTATACTCTTAAACCACCATGCGCTGCTACTCCTCCTTTATAGAATGGTTTAAATCCAGCCCAGGGCTCTTCCACGACCCTAGGGTTCAGAGTTCCAACCTGAGAAATTAATTCTCCATACGTCCTTTTTCCAATCCCACCACTGCAACTGAATTTCAAACCTGTGACACTTAAGTTCCTTCAGTCTGTCTGCAACCTTAAGTAACCTGGCTTTGTATTCAAAGTAAGTACCCTCTCTGGGAAACGAGAAGATGCAGTGGCCAGTCAGAAAAAGAATGTGTTTCTCATGGTTGCTTAAATCGCAACACCTGAAGTGCCTAAAAACATAATAATAGGCTATCAGCACTTTTTCTGAGAAAGGCAAACATCTACCATATTTTCATTATGCCTAAAGTGATGAAATTCAGCTAACAGAAATAACCCTGTCTTTTTCTCCAGCTGTCTCCAACTTATCCGAAAAGGGAGACTGTCAGTTTATGCATCTGAATGTGACAAATGAGTGAAGAGAAAAATGGGGGTGAGAAGGGGTATTACTTCACCTCTCCAAAGTGGGGAGGCTCAGATTTCAGATCCTCTGTTTTGGAAGTTAAAAGCACTATAACACACCATTTCTGCCCTGACCGGTTTCAGTGTCTCTCCAAGCTGCAGAGAGGTGGTTACGTGGCGCTTGAAGGCATTTCCTTCGGCCTGAAGAGGGGGCAGCCCCGGCTAGTGGAAGCCCCTCGCCTAGAGCCCTGCGACAGGGGGCGCCCGGAGGCAGCGGGAAATGGACGCGGGATCTTCCCGGGGATCTCCGAGCGGGGCGACGTCTGGGACAGCTGGTCCGGAGACTCTGTGGGGCCACGCCCGCCTGCGCCCCCCAGCCTTTAGGACCACCTTCGCCGAGCCGCCTCCTGGCCTCGTGAGTCAGCGGCACCCCTGGGACCAGACCGAACTCTTGAGGTAAAAGCACCGAGGGCGGACGCGACCCTCTGAAGGCCACTCACCAGGTTTAGGGGTCCTTCCATTACTTCCATAGACCCCGGAATAAGAGGCGGCCTGAGCAAGGGGAGCGACGGCGCCGAAGCACATGGAGGTGAACAGAAGGGGAGCGCGAAGCAGCGGCGGAGAAAGTAGCCCCTATCCGCGCCTGGGAGCCAGCGGAGGGGGCAGAAAGAGCAATAACCGCACCACTTCCTCCTCCGGCGCTAAGGGCCCGCCCCTTGCGCCGTGGGCCCGCCCCCTGCGCCGCGGCCACGCACGCGTCATGGCGTCACATGCGGCTGGTTCAAGGTGGGAGTGAGGACCGGGGTGGAGCTCAGGGAAGGCGGGTCACAGACTGACGTACACTTTCTCGCTGTCGATCTTTCTTCTCGCGAGAAGCTTATCTTCATTTTCTTGAAGTCTCTTCTGACGTCATGTAAGGAGGTGTAGCCTTGTTGGAACTTAAAAGTGGCTGACTTCTGCTGTTGGCTTCTCCCATTTCTTTCCAGCCTGACTTCCCAAATTCACTCTAATTTGCTACACTCTCTCTTGTTCTCCCTTTCCCACCTTTATTCTTGCACCTGAGTTTTCTTTTAAATCAGATTTCAGCGATGCTAAACCATGCCCTGGACTGGACCCCAAACCCACCCCCTGAGGGAGACAAACATGAATGATTCAGGGCTCTGCCCTCAAGTTGCTGACAAATTAGTAAAATAATGTGGGTCACAAATAGCCTAATGTGAGACTTGATTCATATAACAAGTATGTGCCAAAACACTATGCTGGGTTCTTTCTGTCAAGGAATTCATTGGCAATAAAAAATAATTGTGATTTATGCTGTGAAGGGAACAGGAAGATGCGATAGAGGCACCATAGCTATACAGCCTCAAGGAAATTAATTCTTTCGAAAGCTGTGTGAGCTTGGAAGAGGACCTCAAGCTTTAAGTGGACCCCAGTCCTGGTCTATGCCTTGATTGCAAACTTGTGAGAATCTCAGCAGAGGACCCATCAAAATCATGCCCAGACTCTTGACCCATGGAAATTGTGAGATAATAAATGTGTGTTGTTTTAAGCTACTACATTTGTGGTAATAGAAAACTATTACAGACACCTTCAAGGAGGTAAAATCGAGAGGCAGAAATTCCTTGATAAACTATAACCATGAGTAGTGAATTTATGTCACCACATTACTCAGTCCACAGTAGCTGGCTGTGCAGCTACTGTGCAGCTACTTTGTCCAGCTGTTAACTTAAGTTCCCCTTAATACCTCTAAGGGGAACTTAAGTTAACAGCTGGACAAAGAAGGAGAGTATAATATGTTCAAGCAAACACCAATATTTAAGAGTGATTTCATCCAGATCAGCAAAAGAGGAAAATTGACATGTACATACCATGTCCAAACAGTGACACAGACATTGCATCTGTCAGCCCTATTCTCTGCCACTTCCTGTCATGCTATTGGCTTGATCAGCTACAGGCTATGAAGAGCCTGCATGCTAGATGGCTGAGTCATCAAAGGAAGAGTTTGCAAGCATACAAAGACTTTAGGGCTATCCAGGCTTCCAAGCTATAAATGAAGCTTGCCACTGGCTGGTTTTCTACTTGCAGGTTTGTATACCTTTAGACACATGGAAGACTTCTTTGCTTACCAGGAAGGACCCATTTATCTCCTAAGACCATCAGTGGAGGGTTATAGAAGTCTCCAGGCCATCCTAGCTGGGGAAACAGTGGACCTATTATTGACACATTACAATTCAAATAAAGGAAGAAATTTTAAAAAAAAGATCACAACAGATCACTCTGCCTTGATTGCAATAGAAAATTTCTCTTTTTGTGTATGCACAAGAGTGATATAGGACAAAAATATGTCTAAATCTGAAGAGTCAACCCCTTTCACTATATATAAAATAAAAATTTAAGGGACAAAAACAATAGCTTAACTGCAGAGAAAACCAGCACAGTTAGCATGTAAGCAGATGACCCTCTTTCCTGCACTTACTAGTATGAGGACTTATCTTCCTGTTGTATCGTTCCTTGATATTGTTAAAAAACAAAATTCAAACAAATTTGAAGATCTAACTGGATTTATCAAGCAATTCATAAATTAGGCAACATCCCATTTAGCAACTAGAAGCGCACTTTGAGAGGTTGTACAAAATGGAATATTTTTATAGGCAGAAAGAAGGTGGTACTAAGAAATTAGAAGTAGATTATTTCAGGCAAGGACACCTTCCCTTCGGGGAGGGTAGGGGGTCTTATAATGATTACCAAACTAGTGTGGATCAAGAAATTCCAGACTGACTGGTTTGAAATTCACTCCTGGGAAAGGCTGTATCTCCAATTAGGTTAAGTATTAAATCTAGGTTTGATATCATGGGCTTTTGACACAAGTAACTCCATTTGGGGCTTGCGGTTTTTCCTTTTAACATCATAAGAGAAACTACCAAACTCTTCTCCATTTCCAACTTCATCATGAACAAAAGGGAAGACTGACTTTAACTTTAAAAGGAAACTAGTTCTGGTTGTTCGTTTTTAAGAAGGAGCAGGGTGTTGAAAAGAGATTAAGCATTGTCTTGCTTCAGGTTGATTCAAGTGCTTCTTGAAGATTTAGTTTCTCCTTTTTCTGAAACTTTTAAATTATCCTCATTTCTCAATAGCAACATTTTAACTTTGCATAACATTTTGTAATTCTCCCAGCACTTACATGTACATTTGCTCGTTCAATTCCAACATGCTCAAATTAGCAACTTGTCCAAAGTCGTAAAACTAGTAAATAGCTAAGTTAACTTAACTAGTAAATAGTTAAGTTAAGAATCTAGGTCTGCCTGGCTATAAGCCCAGTACTCTTTCCACTACAAGCAGCTAAATATCTACTGGAGTGACTCTAATGTTGGTAATAGGAGAAATAGACTGTTAGGGTAACCCACTGTAATTACATAGGTTATTTTGGGTTTTCCTAAGTTTATAGTCCTGAGTACCAAAAGATTCAAGTTAAAAAGAGAGTTGCTATTGTTAGTGGCTCTGTTCTCCTCTGGGGGATTTGCCAAGAACTATTCACAAACCAGACTGGGCAGGAACAGAATTGGGGGGCGGGGGGTGGTTGGCGTGAGGTCATAGGCTCTAACTTCTTGGACTCTGAGCCAAGCTGTCCAGTTGCTTCAGCATGAGCCAGGATGAAGAGAGCCAAGTTAGGCAGGAGTTAGGCGTTCTATTCAATAAAGCTCAACAGAAGAGAAGCCAAGGAAAGTAGAATTTCAGGGCAGGTTTCTTATCCAGTAAGCTGACACCTGGGAAGAGACAAATAAAGGCAGAAAGGCAATGATTCAACCAATTTTGTATTAGGTTAGTGTTTTGCAAACAAGGGAGCTGAAGAGAGCTCTCCAAAATCCCAAATGTCCTTGACCCATGTATCTATTGGTGCATCAGCAGGGCTGTCTGTTTCCAACTATAAAAAATAACTTACCTGTTGATTTGCACTGAGTCAGGCATGAGGGCAACACTTTTCACCTATATTTTCTTTCTGCATTTCAGAATGCTAAGACATGCCTAATCAAAACCTCTTCAGCCATTATATTCACCATTCCCAATTACAAAGTCGCCAAACTTGCAGCTCTGCCAATTGTTCTGACCCTTTAATGCAAAATGCTAGTTCATTTAGATTTTATTTCAAACAGAGCAGTCACATATTGGGAAGGAATCAAGAGAATCGTGAGTTATTGGAAGATGATAGTGTTTAATTACCCTTAAATAAATTCGTAGATTCTATGTAGAAACTGAATGATAGGGAAGAAATGATTGAAGTCATAAGACAGAAATACAGACACTGTTTTCCCCTAAATTTTCTAGGAGAGATTTGCCTCCAGCCTCCTTTTAAAAAGTTGCCAAGATTCTTAAATCTGTTGCTAATCTAGTCAGTCCCTATGTATTCTATGCTCCCTGCAGCCGTTCCACCTAGCAACACCAGCACAGGAAACCTCTGAATGACAGTCCTGTGAAGCCATGTGACAGCTCGAGGAAAGGGAAGAGTAGCAAAGCAACACAGAAGAAATAAGAATTTTGCCACTAATTGAAGGAAAAAAGAAAGGGAGGGGGTAAGAGAGGGAGATATAGAGAAAGAGAAAGGAAGAAAGAACATGACAGACACCTATACTCTCTACCCTGACATGTTTACATCATATGCTGTTGACATTTATTTGATCCAGAAGCAATTGTGAGAAGAATGATGCAACCTCAGATATTACAACATCAGGGCTGCAGCCAAAGAATTTTCGCAGCATACATGGAGGTTGGCCAGACTTCAGCTTTGGCCAGACATTTAGCTTATTCCACACTGAATTGTCCATCACCAGTTTTGAAGTCCTCAGGACTCTGAGTGACTGCCATGTTCACCATAGTCTTCCAATTCAGTTTTAGGGGCAAAGACTAATTGGGCAAAGACCAAAAGGGAGCAAAGTAATTGGGCAAAGACCAATTGGAGAATTTTTTATCACAAAATTGAAATAATTTACAAAACTCTCTTGAATTCTTTGCTGTCACAGAGTAAATATCCTATTTGGTTAAATTATAATTATTGGCTGTATTTTATAGGACGTTTATTCTGTAATTGTAAAAACAAAGCTTTTTTTGCACAGATGCATTTTTATTCTTTTTATGAAAAATTTCAAGTGTATCAAAAGTATAACAGTATAACGAACAGCCAGATAGCTAACATTTTACCATATTTTTCCATCTATTTGTTTGCTAAAAATTTTTAAGTAAATCATGAATATTTTACTTCTCTCTAATTACTTTAGTACTCATCTCTAAAAATAAGAACATTTCCCCCACTTTACTATAATACCTTACTCATACATAACAAAATTAACCCTAATTCTTTAACATCAACCTGTACCACAGTCCAATTTCCCCAAATTGCCAAAATTGGAGCAGATCAAAATCTAACCAAAGTCCATACCTTGCATGTGATTGCTATGTCTCTTTGTTTTCTTAATTTGCTTTTAATCGAGATAAATTCTGACTTCATCTTTTTTTTCACGACACTAACTTGTGAAAAAGACTTGACTGATTGTCTACTCTTTTACTATATTTTTAACCATTGATTATACTGTCTTTTAAAATCATTGGCTATATATAAAATATTAAGTATACTTCTTCACATATTCACTTTTAATAAGCCCTAAAGTAAAATATACAGAAGAGCAAATTTTGACTTTATAACCACAAATCCTGTGCCATATATTTTAGTCGGTACTTTTTAGTTGCAAATAGCAAAAATCGACT